GTAGCCAGTTGCCGAGATATGAACTAAGTATACTCCTCTCCTGTAATAATAACTAACTCAGAATCAGACGAAGTCGACTGAGATATGGGAGAAGGTAGAGAGGAAGTGTAATCCTAATAAGAGACCTGATTAGCAGCATTAGAAGTTTTGCCATGTATATCCCAACAATAATCAACAGTGTGGTTGAGTGCATGAACGAGGACCTCCCTAACCTCCATAACCACCGATTGCCATAGCCACCCCGAGTACTATCACCGGTGCCATTAAGGACAACAAGAGCTGAGCGGTCAGTGGACAAGCCATGATAAATTCCTGAAATCGAAGAGCTAGGAGACAAGTTAGCACGCTATAAACAGGAGAAGACCTCAAGAAGATATGGAAGACTGGAGCCACCCAAAATCTGAGAGCAAATAGACTCATACTTGGGTTTAAAATCAACCAGGAAACAAACAACATCCAAATCCTCTGTTGCTTTTGCAGAACTGCCACATCAATAGTGCACCGGTGGTAGACCTTCAATTCTTCACGAATGCCTCGAACTTGAGAGTCTTAATCTTTAAGACTTAGAGTACCTTGTTCCAAGAGAAAATACTATTTGCACACCTTATAAGTATTAGTAAAATTACCAGTGCCAAAATACGTGGTGGCCAAATGATCTCATATTTCTTTGGCCATATCGAGATACAACACAGTAGAGTTAACACGGATCTCAATGCTATTAAATAATAATGAGATAATCTGGGCATCCTTCTGTTCCCACTGATAATACCCATGATGATCCTCATTGGATTTAGTTCCCACCAAATACTTTTTAAAGCCTTTGCCTTTGAAAAATACTTGGATCGATCGTGATAAAACATAATTGGTCTCATTGAACTTAAATGAAATCATGGGACCATTAAGGAGAACAATGGGAGAAAAAGTAGATGGCACAGGTGGGATAAGACAGGTAGTGTCCTATGGGATAAGATAGGTAGTGGCTTACTTAGGGTCCATAGTAGTAAGCAATAGTATGAGCAACCAAGTAATAACAAAAGAGAGGAAACAGTGAAGTAGGAGGGCTGAACTATACCCAAAGAGTACAGGACCTTCAAAATCTTCATGAAACAGTGGATTAGGAGGGCTGGAATACCACTGGATGCCGCTGAACCAGACCAGAAAGACAGCTGGACTGGCTGAAATAGGGTCCAAAGGGGCCAAACCAAGGAGAAAAGCACTGAATTGGTCCAGAAGAGCTGCTGAACCAGAGGCTGAACAGTGAACCAGTACAGAACCAGGAAAAGAAACACAGAAGCGGACTGAACCGACCTGAAAAGGATGAATCAGACCAGAACCAGTCCAAAATTGATTGAACCGGCTTGAACAGTGGGCTTGAACCTTGGGCTTGGCTTGACACTGGGCTGGCAGTGGGTGGACTTGAACACCAGGGCCTATGTTGGGCCCAGAAGACGATTGGGTTATATTAATAACTCGAAGTCCAACTCTTTGCAACCCAAACTCTAGGTTAAAATAAAACCTATACAATGGGTCAAGTCAACCTGAACCACACCCAAAGCCTATACTTTGTCTTCTTCACGTAGGGTTTAACAGGAACCCTAAAGCAACAGGAAACAACAGTGGCAACACTCCGCAGCCGCCACTCCAATCCACCGGTGGCAACAACGACAGCTACCTGTCCTCGTCTTCTTCATGCAGAGTGCAATAGAAACTCTAGATCAACAAGATACAATGGTGATACTCCACAGTTGTCATGCCAGACCTTCGGCAACAGCAACGATAACAAAATCGATACCCAATCTCCACTAGCAACCACCTCAAGCCAACAACGCTAGATTTATTGTGGCAAACTGAGTGGCTAACCCAATCATCCACATCTCAACACCAACATAGCAACATACATAAACACAATAAACACGATCACCATCCACACTCTCAGACCATGGGTGTGGATTACACGGCATGAGATAGAATCAAAATTGAGAAGGAAATACGAGAAAAGAAAGAACAATATTGCTTGGTTCAAATTTTCAATCTAAAAATAAAATTCAAGATAAATCTTCAAATCAACCTTGTTTTGATACCATATTAAATTTAGAGAGTTAGCACAATATTAGAACGACGGAGAATGGTCGAACTTNTTGAGAAGGAAATACGAGAAAAGAAAGAACAATATTGCTTGGTTCAAATTTTCAATCTAAAAATAAAATTCAAGATAAATCTTCAAATCAACCTTGTTTTGATACCATATTAAATTTAGAGAGTTAGCACAATATTAGAACGACGGAGAATGGTCGAACTTAACCTACCTCTCACTAACAACTTATATTTATAGTTATCTCATAAACATACAAAAGATGAGTATACCCTCTAAGTGGTATACTTATTACAACCATATTAAATATAAATATCATAGTAATACTCTCAACAACAACAATGCAAAGTTTTGGNTTAACCTACCTCTCACTAACAACTTATATTTATAGTTATCTCATAAACATACAAAAAATGAGTATACCCTCTAAGTGGTATACTTATTACAACCATATTAAATATAAATATCATAGTAATACTCTCAACAACAACAATACAAAGTTTTGGGAAAACTTATAAATACGAAAGTGAAAAAAGAAGACATAAATATGTTTCATTGCCACTAGATATAAACCAAAGGAGAAAACAAGAACAACATCAAATTATATCCCATGGGGCAATCACTAGATACAACGTAATGCTACAATTGATAGAATTTGGATTGATTCTATTTAGACGGCCGGCCGCCCGAAGCCCTAACCGCCTTTTCTATATAGTCGCATAACCCCAAATCTAGTGGGCTACCATATTATGTTGTACATCCTTAATCCATTGGCTTTTTTTAAAATAATACTAACATAATTGGACAAGTGTCCATGGGTGAGTGCGTTAAGTTAAGAAAGTGGATGTGTTGTCTTCAAATCAAGACTTAGTAGTGGGTGTGTGCATCGTGTATGTAGGAAAGAAAACAAATCTAGGTGTATAATACTAAACGAGCAGGAGATAAATTAGCCAAAAAACAAAAAAAACAAAAGAAAAGTGGACAAATGTCCACCATATATGAGATATGGTGTGACTATTATCTTAAGCTAGTAAGTTTAAAAGGATCACTGAGGTGGAGGCTGATTTTGGAAAAAGATAAGAAGGGAAAAAAATGGAAGTGAGGAGAAGACCAACCGAGGGAAGATTAAGTTGACCGAAAGTATTGAGTGGTTAAACAGATTTTTTGAAGGATTATTTGGGATATTGGAGTGTGCATATTTTGCTCTGATTTAGGAAAGATAAGTGGTTTATTACACAATTTACATTCTTGTTTTAATATCTTTGCAAAGAGTCTTATTGTTTTGCTAAACAATTTGTGCTCTAATTATTATATCATTATCGTTTTGTATGTTCTTCAAATTTGCAATTAATGTTTCATTGGATGGGTTATGTTAAAAACATATGTGATTGGTGAATTGCTTTGGGACATATTGGCATATGCGTCACGCACACTCAGTGGCATGAGTATGGTAGAGAAATGTTATTGTGGCCCCGAGGGGCGTTTGTGACAGTTAATACACTGAGTGGTGCTTAGGATATTGCCGAGACGGACTGGGTATGAAGCCATGGTTGTAAAATGTCGTTTCAATCAATACTTTCGCGATTGATTATTTGTTAGTTGCTCGATTATTGTTTGACCTTTAAATCCATATATTGTGTTTTAAATTTCTTAGTGGGCCTCTCAAGCTCAGCCCCCATTTACCCTCTCAGTTGGTGGTTGAACTTGGAGTAAAATTTGGTAGATGATCGGGTCAATCAAAGATTTGCAGATTTTTTATTGATTGTACTTAATTTTATTAGCAGGAGACTATTGATTCATTTTTGAGGACTTTAGTGATTCTAAAATTTAATAGAATACGATGAGCATCAAATCAATTGAAAATGAATTTCGTTCTAAGAAAATTATGTTTTATTTATGGGAATTGAATTTGTGTTATTGAGGTTATTAGCGCTCTAAATTATATGGAATTGGGTTTGGGCGTTACAACCAGAGCTTGGTTTTATCATCTTAATTATATATTTGTAGATATTGCAGTCAACTTAGTAATTTTCTCATCTAACTATAGGTATGGTCTACCTTCAGGAGTCTTTCTTCCAAGCTGGACATTTTTTTATCTCTATGTCCCAGTTTGAGGGGATTGTTAGAGTGTTGCTTTCCTATTATTTCACTTTTTTATTGTTCTACTGTCCTATTATGTGGTTTTCCTATGTCCTACTTTTTTAATATTGTAATTGTCTCCAAAATCAATGTAATAAAAATTGGTGATAGGGTGTTGGCAGCATACGCACTACACAAAATATTGTTTTATACTCTATTTATTCCTCTCTTCTTCTCTTTCTTTTCCTTAACTGTAACATATAACTTTTCAGGTTTCAACTTTCTTCATCAGGGGCTTTTCTTGCCTTTGGACCTGAAGTTAATAACAAGCTGCATAGAAGCTTTGGCACAAGGCGCCGTGATGTTTTTTGGCTAGAGACATTTCTTATGTTTTAGTCAGGGGCAGCCTTAGTTCTACTTTCTTTTTTTCTCAGATAGCTTTCCATTCTCATTTGTTAATTAAATCTACCATATTATTCTCGTTTAAATGCTTGAATGAGAAGTAATTTTGTCTTTATCACATAAAAAATGTAATTTTGTCTTTATCATTGATACTGCAAAATTGAATCATGAATATTATTTAATCAGAATAGAATTTCGAACTTCCATTTCCACACTGTCGATTTTGTTTTTCCTTATCATTTGAGACGTTGCTGGCTATTATGGAACATGATTGATGTTTAGTTGTTTACCCATTGCCCAATGCAACCAAAAAGTAAATTAATATTAGATAATACTCTTCTGGGGTTTGAAAGCTATAAATTAAATTTGCAAATGTTGCAGGCAAAAAAAGATCAGAAGCCAATTGTAAGTAATTTTATATCTTACTATGGTAGAATTGACAGCTGTTAGTTCTTCTGTCATCAATCCTGACACCAGTAGGTTGAGATAATGCATAAGTGGAGATCAGTCAGCTTGCTACTAATTGTATTCTTGCTTCTTCTTCGTACTGTGCNCCTGACACCAGTAGGTTGAGATAATGCATAAGTGGAGATCAGTCAGCTTGCTACTACTGATGATTGTATTCTTGCTTCTTCTTCGTACTGTGCAAAGTTTCCCTTTCGATGTGCTGAATAATTTTGTCATTTCTTGCTCCTACTGTTGGTCGTGAATGTGAATGTCTAGTCTGTTTTAGTGATGTGAGTAACTTCTATCACATATTGATAATGGAAAAAAGAATGCATATTTGTGCTACATGGTCGTTAGTTCCTAAGATGGTTTACACTGTCTTTTTAATGATTGTCCTGTACTTGAACATTTCTTCCAGAAGCAAGTGCAAGTGCAAGTGCAAGTGAATCTGAAGATGACAACGAAAGAGCCGACGCTGCAGAGGAAGATACGNTTAATGATTGTCCTGTACTTGAACATTTCTTCCAGAAGCAAGTGCAAGTGCAAGTGAATCTGAAGATGACAACGAAAGAGCCGACGCTGCAGAGGAAGATACGGAGGATGAAGACCACACTTTCTTTGATACCCGTGATTTTCTCTCATCAAGTTCTTTCAAAAGCAATGGGTCTGACATTCGGACATCGTCTTTTTCATCTGATGATGATGGATTGTATGCATTTGAATCAGAAGATGGAATGGACCCTTCCATTACATCTGCTGTAACTAAATTCCCTTATGTTAAGTGTCGCAAGAAATTGCCTGAACCTGTTGAAAAAGAGAAGCGAGTTAGTCTTTGGTCAATGATTAAGGATAATATTGGGAAGGACCTTACAAAAGTTTGTCTTCCTGTGTACTTTAATGAACCTCTCTCTTCTCTGCAAAAATGCTATGAAGATTTGGAGTACTCTTATCTTATTGACAGGGCATATGCATGGGGAAAAGAGGTAACTTACATGCTCATTAATACATTGATTGCTTCTTTTGTGTGGTACATACCTTTGTTGTGCAAAGTGTCATTTTAAACTGCACAACTCGAATTTCTGTTAATTGTGCTAGTAGGAACGTAAGATGTTTTGATCGAACCAATATTTTAGTTTATNGTGCAAAGTGTCATTTTAAACTGCACAACTCGAATTTCTGTTAATTGTGCTAGTAGGAACGTAAGATGTTTTGATCGAACCAATATTTTAGTTTATGCTTAGTTTGTTTGTATTTTGCTACGTCAGTCTCTTTTGTGGTTTTTAGGTGATGCAAGATAGCTTACTAGATAAAGACATTGGTCCTGCATCGCATGCCAAGATGCAAGTGTCAATTTTTAGGTTCTTGAGCATTCCTTATAAAGTTTATCAAAATAAAATGAAAAAGATGTTGTTTTTGTAAACCTATTGTTTGTCTAAATATATTCTACCATGGCATGTATTATTTTGGTACATGACTATTAGAACATCCAACCCAAAACCAATTGGCAAGGGTGGAGTGGCCTCTCAAGCATATAAACCAATCTTTGTGGTCCTCTAATTATTCGATGTGAGATACAAGTGCTCTCAACAACGTCCCTCACTTGGGACCTGGGCCCGCACATGGGGTCAACAAACAAGCAGAAAACTGTGTATACCGAAAAACTCAACTGGGTAAAAAACTTGGTTCACTGACCATCGAAGGTTTAACTTTGATACTATGTTAGAGCATCCAACTCAAAATCAATTGACAATAGGTGGAGTGGCTCTTCATGTATGTAAACCAACCTTGGTCGTCCTAATTATTCAATGTGGGATACAAGCTCTCTTAATAGCCTCCCTCACTTTGAACTCGGGCTCGTACATGAGGCCAACAAACAAACAAATAATCATTCATATACCGGGATTCAAATGGGTAAGAGNTATACAAGCTCTCTTAATAGCCTCCCTCACTTTGAACTCGGGCTCGTACGTGAGGCCAACAAACAAACAAATAATCATTCATATACCGGGATTCAAATGGGTAAGAGGCTTGGTCCACTAACAACCCAAGACTCAGTTCTGATACCATTTTAGAGCATCCAACCCAAAATCAATTGGCAATTGGAGGAGTGACCTCTCAAGTATATAAACTAATCTCGGAGGTACTAATTATTCAATATGGGTGCAAGCTCTCTTCACAATGACATGCTATGGGGATTGAATCAGAGCATTGTGTTGTACACTGGATGAGTCTGCTATTTATCTTAGTATAGTCTGATTCTGTTTGCTCTTCTTATAGTTAGTTATTGCCGTGGCTTTTTTCCTGGCGATTATGTTGATTTCCATGTTACATTCACAGTTTGTATAGTGAGATTCTATGCAGAAAACAGAAGTTTTTGAAATGTGTTTAAGATTCGAGAATATAAATTACTGATATGCTTAGTTGAGTTCGTTTGCAATCTCATTCTGTATTAGTCAACTTGCCATCATATGGTTCATGCATAGATCTTTTACGTGTGTGTTGGTTCCTCCCAATGGATTTCACTCGTCAATATGAAAAAATCACCAGGGCTCTCGTCCACTCTTTTGCTGAATGCCATTGTCAAGTTCCCAATTGTGTTATGTTAATTGTTACATCTGTTTAGGGTTGCTGGATATGTTGAGATTTGTCATTGTTATTTCTTCTTCATTGTCGTCATAATCGTTACTAAAATGACACAATTAGCTCTGGAATATAAACCTTGTCCAAGCAGTTAGAGAGTGATGCATGGTTGTTTGAGTGGACCAGTTGATGTCTTTTCATTACGCAAAAAATGTTTATATTTAATGTTGTGGTTGGACGAGTCACTCCAATCAGGGGCTTCCTTTGATGAGTTGAGTAGCTGAAATGACTTTGTCAGCTTGTAATCCTTCTTGATTACATTTTCTATTAGGGTAACAGCCTTATGAGGATTCTAAACGTAGCAGCATTTGCAGTATCTGGATATGCTTCTACTGAAGGAAGAAATTGCAAATCATTTAATCCATTACTGGGGGAGACTTATGAGGCTGACTTTCCAGATAAAGGTCTTCGATTTTTCTCCGAGAAGGTGCCGTTTTGCACTGGAAGCAATTTTTAATTTCTTGTTGTATATTCAGTGTGTTCTATAGAATGCACATTTTATTAACTACAAGCCGCTTGTTTTGTGACAGTTGAATTTCAGGACTCCGGATGTTAGACCCATGATTAGGCATTAAAGCCTGTAATTCTAGCATGTCAAATGGGCAATAACAATTAGTTGATCAAAATATATTCACCATTTCACTCTTGGGATAGTAAATGTTATATAAAACTTCTGTTCTGCTTAGGAAAAAGAAATGCCTTTTTTTTTCCTGGGGGGATCCCAGAACCATATTTTGATCGCACTTCAGTTGTTGTTGATTACCCATGACATGATAAACTCATTGTTTCCCTAGCCATTACAGAACCATATAGGAGAGGGCCACAAACAAACTCAATGACCTTTTTCGATTATTGAAATTGAAAGTTTGTTGGCTAGATTGCTGAACCAATTGTCAGGTGCTCCATTCTCTTGTATAGTGAGACAAATACAATTCTATATGCTATAATTATAATGTCAAATAAATAACTGGTTTCAAAATTGTTTCATTAATTGTTGGGGGACAACCTTGAAAATAATAACACCAAGTTTAGTCCCCATTAATGGGGGCTTGGGAGGGAGAGATTGGGGCTAACCATGTTACATGCCATTTTTTGTATCATTTCTAGTTTCTAACCACAAATTCTGTGACAAATGTTTTTCCTGCCCAAGACTTTATCCAGTCCACCTCTTTCTTTCCTGCACCCTCAGCACTACCAGCGTCAGTGGCATATTTTTCTTCCCTGCGTCTCATGGTTTCTTTTTTATTTATTTTTTATTTTTTTGAGAAGTGTGTCAATCTTAATTTTTGCTTTAGCTAATTTTTCTCTTGCACTTCTTTGATTTCCTCGAAAAAGAAGAACACCTAATGTACACCTAATCTGTCTCATGAATAACTCTAATATTTTTTAAGTTACGACTAAGTCGTTATTGGGACACACGGTATAAAATAATCTTGTAGTGATAGAATTGAGTTCAATCTCACTTAATGGTCTTGTGGTAGAATGTTAATTGAAGACCGGACATGATGACAAAACCACAAAAGTCAAAGAGAGAGAGAGAGAGAGAGAAAAAAAGGGGGGGGGGGGGAGGCGCTAGCTACAATTAGATTATAAGGGAGAAGGGTAGTAAAAAGAGCCTTTTTAATCATTGTGCACTTGAAATTTCTGAAATGACACATTTAATTTGTTAGTTACCATTTGGGCTTCCAGTTGTGCTACAAGACTGACTTGATAAGGTTGATTCTTTCATGTATTTGCAAATATGTCATGGTCATTGTTTTTCACAGTATCCTCTACGTTGAATTGATTGTGGCAAGCCTTCTTCCAATCTCTATTGAATCCCCTTACTAAGAATCAACTAGTTAAAATTGTTATTCATTGGAACCAGGTCAGTCATCACCCAATGATTGTGGCTTGCCACTGTGAGGGCACGGGCTGGAAATTTTGGGGAGATAGCAATCTGAAAAGCAAATTTTGGGGTCGCTCTATTCAAATTGACCCTGTTGGTATCTTGACTTTGGAATTTGATGATGGAGAAGTGTTCCAATGGAGTAAGGTATTACCCAAGTGGTTTTGAATTTGTTTTTCTGTGTGGGGTTTTGCCCTGAAAGTTTTACTTTCTGCTGTCAGGTCACAACGTCAATATACAATCTTATTTTGGGAAAACTATACTGTGATCACTATGGTACAATGCGTATACAGGCTAATGTAAACTATTCATGTAAGCTGAAATTCAAGGAACATTCGATCATAGAGAGAAATCCTCACCAGGTACATTTCTCTCTCTCTCACAAACACACGCTCACGCGCACACATTCACACAAACACGCACCCACTAATACACACAGTTGCGCGAGTAACAAACATACTATAATATAGCCACCTATTTAGAATNAACTCTCTCTCTCACAACCACACGCTCACGCGCACACATTCACACAAACACGCACCCACAAATACACACAGTTGCGCGAGTAACAAACATACTATAATATAGCCACCTATTTAGAATAATTAAATTCATGACTTCCACTTCTTATTGGAGATTATAGCTTTCATTCAGACAACTAAGCAGGATTCGGAAAAATAGACCACCCCTGGATATCACATTAACAAGATATATCCTGGGCTAAGAGTAAAATGGAGCACCCAACATCCTTGAGAATGACTAGTGGATATCACATTTAAAAAGACATCCACGAGTAAAATAACCATAGCACTTGGAAGAATAAATTGATAACTATTGTTCCTTCATTTTAAGAATTTTTGGTCTAGTTTGTTCCTGTTGGTGTTCACATGCTTCTCCCCATTTATGAAAATATTTTAAGCGAATTTAAACCCAGTCTAGTATTAGGAACTTCTGAATTTTACCATGGTATTTTGGAGACCAGGATTTTTTATCTAGAATTGCTCCCAAAGGCCAGGACTGATAGATGTTCTCAATATGACTTACAGCAAATACCACAATTCAACACAGGCATTTGGCTATACCCCAAGGATATGTGGTCTGAGTGACTACTTTAGCTGTATTGCCTTCTATTGGTGTCTAATGCACTTAGATGATTCCCAGTTTAATGCATATGGATCATTGTAGAGGTTTATGTTGTATTGCATGATCATTAACCCTGCTATCCATGGAAAGAGAAGAGGTTTAGATGGATTTGTCATCAAACATAAAAAATGTAGAGAAGGTCAAAGAAATAACCAACATCAACCTTATGCAGATATGACAAAATTTATGTCATTCTTCGTCGAAGGGAAACTATAATGTGCATTGTGAAATTGCGTTCGTCATTGTTACTAAATGCCCATAACTGATAAGTTACATGTCTTTTTCTTCTATGGGTTTCTCTTAAATTTGCAACACTAATGCAAAAAGTAATATCTAATTCTATGTGTTTCAGTATTGTTAGGGTCATAGTTATCAAATCGTGTATCGGAAGGCGTATCGTTTTTTAAAAATAGTGTATCGTATCATGTATCGTAAGATACGGTGCAATTTTAAATAAATAATAAAAAAATATATATACCTTTGAAAAAAATCATACACTCATAAAAATATAGCATTTCATTCATACTTCACCACCTATTCAAGTCATCAACATAGTTCGCTAATATTATAATGCAAAGTTTACAACCATAGTTCACTAATTCAAACTTCAAACCCCAAAGAGACTTTTAATTCAAATTTCTAACATCCATTTTGAACTCAATCCATAAAATTTATCAAGATTCAGAAATTTTTATACAAAAAAAAAAATTGGTGTCTTATTTAGACAAAATGATGTAATTTCAGAAAAAAAAAAAAAACAGGTTTTACGCGTATCGGTCGTATCGTACCGTAAAAACGTATCGTGTATCGGACGATACGGTGCAAAAACGATACATAACTACAATCCGTATCGTAACGTATCGTAAGATACGTATCGCGTATCGTACGATACTAACAACTATGGTTAAGGTNAAAATAGGTTTTACGCGTATCAGTCGTATCGTACCGATACGTATCGTATCGTATCGTGTATCGGACGATACGGTGCAAAAACGATACATAACTACAATCCGTATCGNCAGGTTTTACGCGTATCGGTCGTATCGTACCGTAAAAACGTATCGTGTATCGGACGATACGGTGCAAAAACGATACATAACTACAATCCGTATCGTAACGTATCGTAAGATACGTATCGCGTATCGTACGATACTAACAACTATGGTTAAGGTTATAATGTCAGTCCCACCATCAAGATATTATTTGCTTGGTTCGTAGGCTCACAGTTTTAGAACTCGTCTTTAATGGTTATGGCAAGACTAAACCATAAATATCACAATCACTTTTTTTCTCCTAGCGATGTGGAATTAAGTACCTAGAACTTGGCACCTTTACCTCACGTCACCTCACCTCACCTTATCCATTTTGGCTCTCACCCTAAGCACTATTGACCTCTTCAACTCAATTGGCACATTGGGCTATTGGCTACCATACTATCCCAACCTTACCATCAAGATANGCACAATCACTTTTTTTCTCCTAGCGATGTGGAATTAAGTACCTAGAACTTGGCACCTTTACCTCACATCACCTCACCTCACCTTATCCATTTTGGCTCTCACCCTAAGCACTATTGACCTCTTCAACTCAATTGGCACATTGGGCTATTGGCTACCATACTGTCCCAACCTTACCATCAAGATATTTTCCCTTTTTTGTTAGACCCTCACAATTTTAAAATATGTCGTGATGGTTAAAGGTAAGACTATCACATGAATGACCGACATTCGTTTCTCTTGGAAATGTAGAACTAAGCACATTGATTTGGTACCTTTACCTCATCCATCTTGGTCCTTGGCCTCAGAAGTTTTTACGTGGTGGTCTTTTGGCTTCCGCCAGATACCTCCCTTAAGGATGAATGTTCTTGTGTGGGAACTCGTCTTAGCTCCGTGAGAGAGATCCCACTTGACCACCTAATACCCGACCCATTGTGGTTCAAGTAAGACCATAGTTTAGGTTATTATATGAGTTTAATTCGACTTGGTTGAGTCTTATTCAACTCAATAATTTTTGTTTCAATATTGTTTTACATTTCATGTAAATCATGGGTCTCACTTGACTCAGCGATGTCTTGGTTGACTTGGTCGAGTCATTCAAGTCATTGTCATTGTCTCGCATCCTACGATACTTTTGCCGATACCAATTTGTTTTAGGTTGGATGCTCTAACGTGGTGTCAGAGTTGAGCCTTGGGCTATTAGTGGACCAGATCTCTTCGTTAAATCTTTTAGTCTATTTATCTGTCTAGTTATCTATATTTTTCTATTAAGCATCATAATGAGACTTGGGATATTGTTTCCTTATCCCTTGGTAAAAGAACTGTTGGTTGTTGGTGGGTGTATACAATCAAATTTAATCATGATAGTTCTGTTGAACGCCCTAAAGTCCACTTTGTTGCCAAGTGATTTACTCAAACCAATGGTATTGATTATGAGGGAACATTTTCTCCCGTTGCCAAAATTTATTCTGTTCGTGTAATGATGTCTTTGACTGCTAATTTTTATTGGTCTTTGTTTCAGTTAGATTTGAAAAATGTCTTCTTATATGGTGACTTGGTTAAGGAAGTCTATATGGAGTCGGCCCCTGAGTTTGCTGCTCTGGGGGAGTATCATAAGAGTGTTTGTTGGCAAAAGAAATTTTTGTATAATTTAAAGTAGTCACCAATTCTTTCCCAAGAAATAATCGGGCGTGAATAAGGAATAAAACTACACACAACTCATAATAACCTTCCTTATATTATTATTAACACATTCTGTGTACAATTACATTGCGGAGTTGATAAAGATAACGTAATCCCCACTTGATCAGCTAAAATGTTATGATACGACATAAAGAGAAATAATAGTGACAGTCTCTATCCACCGTCTCTCCAGCTTATTCACCTATCTTGTTTCATATTTCTGAAAAATGTTAAATAGAGATGAGCTCACTAGCCCAATAGGGTAACATTTATCAATGACTATTAAGGTTTTAAAACAGTACATAATATAATTGAACAAGTAAATGTAGGAATAGGTCAAATTAATGAATCAAATAAAAAAAAATGCAGCACATATCAATTTGTCAATTTTCTAGTCCACACATGAATCGTCTCCAGTGAAAGCTTTGGGATCTTGCACCCTAGGAGACTTGATGCCCTTCTGGCTTTTTTGGGAACACTAATACCAAAAATTATGTGGTGCTACACAGACTATCCACAACAACCGATATTGTTAGCTAATGAACTCAAGGATTAGTAGGACTTTTGTGAATTCTCGCAAGTGTCACCCATCCACTAACCCTCTACCATCAATTATGCGCATCCAAAGTTAATTCATCAATATCATAAAGTAGGGTTATATGTATTTGCATCTAACATCAAGTAGGAAGTCAAACGTTAAGTAAATGTGACAAATTAAAATTCAAACATTTTATACGCTTGGTACCGAAATATAATCATGGTTTTGATATAAAAATATAACATTGTGCATGATCATAATTTGATAAAACTCGAATTGAACCCCATGATTAATGTGATAATATTACATTATATAATTAAAATAGGTTTGATATGAAACCCTCAAATATACATGAGATGCATCAATGACAGTAAAATATAAAGGAAACCCTACCTTTGACGTAACTTGGCTCGATATCGTGTACTGTGGCAAAAACAAACGAAGTAATATTTTAGAATTAAAATAGGTAATAATGACATAGTTAAGCTAAAAATAATTTTTTGGAGCAACTAACAGAAAATAATGATACTTGAGTTTGATCCAAAAATATATGACGAGGATCAAATTCAGATGATTTGAATCTATAAAATTACTGAATCACAACTCAAAAATCTTATCTAAATTTTTTATCGCAAGATCAAACTCCTAGGTCAACCAAATTCTGACCAATTTCTTCCTTTATCCCTCTCTCTTCCTTCCTTTCCCTATCGTTCTTCTTTTTTTTCCCTCCTTCCTCTCTCCTTTTCTGTGTAGTCCGAATGGCCATTGGCCAAGGCTATTTATAGCCAACTCTCCACCCCAACGTCACATGGGTGACATGAGAAGGCTTGCATCATTATGAACAGTTGTCCATATTAATTTTTTTTTAAGTCACATGTCAATTCTGTGGTCTCCTTTTTTTTTTTTCAAGAAAAAGTCTCTCTGTATATATTACCAGTCACACATTATCCATCTATTTTATCATTCGGATACTATGATATTTTTTTTTTCCCAAAAAATGACAAATTATAGTCATTCAACTCGTTTTCATGCAAAAAATTCATATTTGAGGTTTAATTGGTCATTTGAAATTTTTTAAAAATAACCATTAGTTATATAGAATCATAATGGATGACCTAATCAACATATTAACCAATGTTATTTAAGGCGTAAAGCGAACCGAAGCGACCAAGACTCCCACTGTTATTTAAGGCGTAAAGCGAACCGAAGCGATCAAGGCTCCTAACGCCTAGGCGAGAAGCGAAGCGAAACGCTTTATCGAAGCAAAGCGAACAATTAAAAAAAAAAGTAAATATTTTAGTTTAATTATTTATACACATCTAAGTTCAATTTTATATATATTAAATATTTAAAAGCAAGTAAAATCATGAACATTTAAATTAAAACAAACACTGAGAAGCAAAAATCAGCACTATGCATTACAACATTCAGCAAAAATCAGCATTCAGCAAAACTCAGCACTATGCATTACAGAATTCAGAAGAAGCAACAACATTATTAAAATCAGCTATATATAAACATTAAAGAAACAACAACATTCATTATCAAAAAAGAAGGAAAAAAAAACAGAATTAAAAAAGAAAACTCATTAGAATGTCTGGGAAGGAGCAGTAGCACCAGAAAGAAGAAAAAAAAAGTAGCAGCAGCACCAGAAAGAAGAAAAAAAACAAAAGCAAAAAAATGATAAAAAAAAAAGAAGCAGTAGGACAGCAGAAAAAAGAAGCAGTAGCACAGAAAGAAGAAGANCTGGCTTTTTTGGGAACACTAATACCAAAAATTATGTGGTGCTACACAAACTATCCACAACAACCGATATTGTTAGCTAA